TAATCGCTTGTCCTGCTGATAAATTGACATTGTGGCAATGTAAGTATGAATTATTTAAGTGACTTTCAGGACTTGGTTACATTTTTAAATATTTCTCACATTAATCTTTCCTAAAATCTGCATTTTTTGGTAAGCGTTTAAAAACTTAGATTAATTTTTTAAGCAAGGGTAATTTTAGTAGCTCAAGAATTAATTTAATAGAACTAGAGCCCTGCATGGATACAAAATTGTATCGCCACCCACAAAAATAAGCTGTAAATATCCGCATTAACATCCGTGGATACAGATACAAAATGGATATCTGCAAATTTACAGGGTTATATCTATCTCCTAGAACTGGAGGGGACCTCGAAAGGTCATGGAGTCCAGTCTCCTGCCCTCACAGCAGGATCAAGTACCATCCCTGACAGATTTGCACTAGATCCCTAAATGGTCCCCTCAAGGATTAAACTCACAACCCTGAGTTTAGCAGGCCAATGCTCAAACCACTGAGCTATCCCTCTCCTTTGCCTAAACTCATCCATATTCACAAGCATGAGCCATGGATATAAGCAGATATCCTCAGATTTGCAGGGCTCTAACTATTATTGTGAAATTGAAAGTCCCAAGATTGACATTAATGCAAAATCCTGATTGTTAGTACTGATAGAATTATAGAAGATGTCGCACAATACTCTGCCAGTACATTTAAATCCTTTTTTATGTTAATCTATGCACAGTATTTGTCTGTCATTATCATATTGAAGATGGATCAACTGTGTTATTGCAGTTCTTGTCGTTATTTGAGCATTGTTGATTTTAAACAAATTCCTATAAATACTTCACATCCTGCCACAACAGATACAAACTCCTTTTCCATTGTAACCTAAACCTTGAATCCACATCTCCACAGATGAAAAGTTAGTACATTAATCCACAACATTACCAAACTCCCTAATGTTAAGTTCTTTAGTATCTTGCTGTTGGCTTTAAGGTCCCCTATTACTAGCATTTAAATTTCAGGCATTCTCTTAACTTTCTGCATATAGAAATAAAGAAAATTGCTGGCTATTAACTTAAAATAATTTCAACGTATATTCTTGCAAGTGGTGTCATTGCACACTTTCATTGGCTGATTTAAAAATCAGAATTTTATTTTTATATAGAGCAGCTAGACTGCTGAGTAGAGAGTATTGAACTGAGATTCAGGAGACCTGGGTTCTATTTTGGACTCTGCTACTGGAGTATCAGGTGATCTTGGGCAAGTCACTTCATTTGTAGGATGGGAATAGTGACGCTGATCTCCTTAGTTAAAGCACTTTAAGATCAGCTGAGGAAGACCTTTATAGGAGCTAAGTATTATTTTATATAGGAAAGATTACTTTAACCCTAATACAGCTATTTATTCACACATTCAGCTACTTAAATTTTAGAGGAATTCTTAACATTGAATTGTCAAGAAATGGGAATATCCAAATGTTTCATTAATAATTTGGAAATGCTGTGGATCCAGTCTTATATTGCATATGCAAATACAGGGCATGTGAACTTTGATGTGACTTTTCTTTGTAAGGACTGCAGGACTAAGTCCTGCATGTCATATTTAAAAATTATTATTGTTGTACAATGGCTGAGGAACTAATTTTTAAAAGAGAGACAAAATGCTAGTGTTCTTCATTATTCAACATACATTATTTTGTTAGTAATAATTTAGAACCGCATCCTCCAAAGATTGATCATGCACTTAACTTCTGAATAGTCTCAGTGATAATACATAAAGTTAAGCATCTGTGTGAATCTTTACAGAACTGTTTCCAGATAATGCACCATAAATGTATATGTTACTATATAATAGGTGTCCACAACAAAGTTCAGGATGTCACTTTTTTGCTGTAGTATAAGCTAATTAAGATTTTAAAAAAACCTATGAGTTTCACTTTTTTGTATTGAATTTAACTTCTATATTATTTCATGTTATATTATTTTCATTTCCAATTTGGTATTCAGTTTCTTACATTATTATCTGCATTTGTACACTTTTGTTTATTTGTCCCTTTGAGGAAAAAATGTACAAATTACAAAATAATTGTTTGTAATCAAAATATTGTATTTCTGATATTTTCATTTGATAATTTTGCATATAATCTTTTTCCTGTGTATTTTTTCTTATATATTTTTATTGTATTTGCTAGACTGCAGCAGTCTCTGTCTCAAGACTCTAATAATCATTCTCTTGGATCATCTGCCTCTGAAAATGATCTTATGAGACAGAGATTTTCTGTAACGTCACACTCAAGATTACCCTATCTCATTGTCTCTGATGGGTATATGCTCACAGTACTTAGATTTTCTGATAATCTTTCACCATCTGGAGTTGTGAGGTCACTTCTACTTGATTCAGCCCAGAGACTTGAAAAGATACATCAGGATCATAAGGTACTAGTGGGTTGCGTAGTTGTTTTTGTTTTTATATTAGAGATTTTTTTAATGTTAATGAATTTTTAATCAAAAAAGAGAAAATAGTAAACAATATAATCTCAGAGTATTACCACATGCTTCCAAAGACAACAGTGCAATCGTGCACGTTTAATCTTTGAAAGGACAATCATAGTACATTCCTTTCAGTACTCTGTGGAGGAAGATTTTGAGACAGACTTAGAAGGGCAGTAATATGAAAAAACAAGCTCCGAATTTAAATGAAACTGAATTTTCTTATGTACGTATGGAATGGGAATGGAACAAAACAGGGCAGTACAATACCTTGTTCTTCAATGTTCTGGACAGGCTACATCTAGTGAACAAACAGGTAATTTTGCATGGTCAACAAAGTTTCTAGTTGTAATATGAACATCATCGTGCCACTGAACTCCATAGCAATTGGATTGAAACCATCAACTCATTTTACATCGATCAACAGCTATTGGAGGGTAACAATTTTCAGTCACTATCAGCTGGGGCTAAGTTTGAATGAAAAACATAAACCTCATAGACCTTTCAGCTCTTAGCTCATGATACCATCTCGATGTTTTTGGTCTTTAAGGTGCTACTAGACTATTTGTTGCTTTTGAAGTTTTTCCAATGTAAATTTAAAGTAATTTGTGTTAGAGAAGAAACAGGTGACCCAGTTGCGAATGGGGTAAACGGAACCACTTTATTTCCTATGCATGTTTACCTTGGACATTAACACAATGTCCGAGTGGCCCTGAATTGGCAATAGTCAGAACCTTTTATCTATTCTAGTATGTTAATTCACATGTTTATTGCTACTTTTGAATGAATATTAATAAGCAAATAATGAATACAATTAAACCCGCCCCTAATTAATATTTATATAATTTCTAATGAAATCATCCTATACTACAAACTGACAATTTACAGAGATTACAAGGAGGTTGACCCTGAAGATATTATGCAGGGCCAATGAGGATAAGCAAGAGACACAACAAGGTAGAACAGCTCCATACTTATCTTGTTTCCTAGGCTACAGAACAGAGAGAAGAGAGCAAGGTTATATATATCAAAATATAATACTGGTCTCAACTGGACCCTATCATCCCAAACTACAAAACAAAAGGAAAAAGCAGTTCTAAGGGCAATGTCGGCTGTGGCTGAATCCTTAACCACTAATGCAAAAAGGCCATTCCAAACATATTGATTCCCCCTCTTCTCACACACCCCCCGCCGCAGGAATTTGCACCATCGCTTGTCAAGTGGCAGCAGATGTACTGAGTTTATGGAGATCTGTTACGTGGAATAAATGAGGACAGTGAGAGAATCTGAGAATTTAGAGATACTATTTTATTAAGAGCACTAGAAATGAGGGAATTATAGGTTTCAGTAAAACTATCTAAGGGAACAACTGAGAGATGAAGAGGATCCACTGAGGGAGGATTGAGGTCACCATCTGTTTTAGTGAATGAAGAAGATAGCTGTTACTAGTTTAGGAATAACAAAATCAAGTATGAGAGAATGATTGTTGCTGGATTTGGAGGCAAGAAGAGAAGTTTGAAATGAATTAGTTTTAATATGTGGTATTGTAGCTTGATAAACTGAGTACAGTAAACATCCAATAATATGGCACCTTTAGGACCCAAGGGGTGCCGGATTATCAAATATGCCGGACAGTGCGCCTCCCCCCTCCCCCCCCAGCAGACCAGGCTTTTCTCGCCGCTGGTCAGTTTCAGCAGCGGCTGAATTAGGGACGCCAATGGCAGAACTGCAGGGCTGCTGCCAGGTTGGTCCTTCAGCACCAAGGGGAGGCGCTATGGAACAAACCCAGCAGCACCCCAGCTGCTCTGCCCCAGGTGCCCCCGACTCAGCCGCGGCTGAAACTAATCAGCGGCTGATTCTGGGAAGCCCGGGACAGAGCAGCTGAGGTGCTGTCGGGTTGGTCCTGTAGTGCCGCTCCTCGGCGCTGCGGGACCAACCCGGCAGCACTCTGGCTGCTCTGCTCCAGACGTCCCGGATTCAGCTGCTGGTCAATTTCAGCAGCGGCTGAATCGGGGAAGCCGGACGCAGAGCAGCTCCAATTGTCCAGCTGCCCCAGCACTTCCGGGTTCCTGATGGTGCCGGACCATCAGGAGTGCCAGAGCATTGGATGCCGGACCAATGGAGTTTTACTGTATACAGCAGAGACATGCAATTATGGGCAAGCTAGTTGACCACTCCTCCTCCATTTTCCCATTTATGCAACCTGTACAGAAATCTTGCCAGTTATTCTTCCAAAATCTGTCTGTTCTGGAGCTCTGATCTCTTCCTTCTATCACTACAACTAAAACTTTTGTTCAGGCCATTTGATCATCTTCTGTTATGATTATTGTAGTGTCCTCCTTATCCTTATCCTCTCTGATACCGCCAGTAGCTTAAAAAAAACAATTGACAGATCCATGTCTTTGCTTGTTATTCTAACCATGTTCTTTGATTTCCTCCACTGGCCACTCCTGCAATATCACATGAAATTCAAGCTTCAAAACCCCTGCCTGCCCGCCCCACCACTGCACAACAGGAACACAATATTCAAAGAAGCAGGTTAAAATAACCAAGAAAGCTTAAACACGACTATTAACCAATCTTTATTTTTACATTGTAAGTTGTGGTCAAGATCCACTTGGCCTAGACCAGGGCTGGGCAAAATGTGGCCTGCAAGCCAGATTGGGGGACCAAAGTTTTTGAACAAAAAAAAAGGGGGGGAGGAGGGGAAGAGGCCAAACTTGTTGAGCAGAAAAACAGTCCAGTATTTTCTGCCCCCCCTTTTTTTTTTGTTTTTTTTTTTAAACCAGACAGGAGCCACAAATACCAGACTGTTCAGGCAAAAACTGGACGTCTGGCAACCCTATGTGTGTCTGTGAATAGCTACAAGCCTGAGGGGAGGGGTACTTCATGCACTGCCTGTGCTTCAAATTGGCAGCTCCCATTGGCCAGAAATCAACCAATGGAATTGTGCTGGGGGTGGGGAGCAGTTTATTATGCTGTTGAAAGACAAACAGCTCAGCAGTTGAAAGACAAACAGCTCAGCAGCCCTTTTCTGAGCTGTGTGGGGGGGACGGGGCAGGCAGGGAGCCTACCTGAGGCTTCCCGCTGCATCTGTGGGTGTGATCCGGCAACTTGGTATGCTGAATCTGGCTTGCAGGCCATATTTTGCCTAGCCCTGGTCTATACCGAGAGGATCTCGCCCACAACTTACAATGAAAAAATAAAGATTGGTTAATAGTCATATGTTTAAGCTTTCTTGGTTATTTTAACCTGCTTCTTTGAATATTGTGTTCTTGTGGGATAATAAATAATACTTCATTTTGAAGAAGCTGAGCTATGTCATTGCATATATTTTCTTGTTAGAGCTCACGAGAGAAGACTGTACAAGGAGACAAGTAAAATAGGCTCTGCTGAAGCCAAGATATACAGTTTGAGCAACAGAATTGCAGGACTTCCCATTGAGTGAAGTGGAGCCTCAGTCCTATCACTAATAATGATGCACTCACAAGGGACTATGGAGTAGAGATGTAATTGTATGGTCAATTAACCGATTAACCAATAAGAAATAGTGTATATGTTAATACTATAGAATACATGCATTTCCTCCCTCCACCTTTGCCAGTAAAATGTTTAGCTGGCTGGCCAGCAGCCTGGCTCAGTTCTGGCTCATGCCAGGTATAGAACCTACCTCAGCTGCGACTCTGCATTTAAAGTCTATTAGGATCCAGGTGGGCAGATAGCCCGGCTCAGTTCTGTCTTGCACCGGGTCTAGGAGCCCAGACCCCCTTTACACAGGGGTTGCTGCCACCCCTGCTGTTGCCTCTTTATCAGAGGCAGCAGCACTGGGCAGCAGACAGGCAGCCAGTCTACAATTTTTAAATTGGCTCCCCTTGTGGACTAGCTCCTGCCTGGCACCCCACACTCTGATACAGTGGCTGCAGACCCCTCCCCTGGGGACTATAGATTAGTTGAATTACTCAACTATTCAATTAACTGATATTTAACATCCCTACAGTGGAGGGTACAAGACCAAGTACTCATGCTGATCTGTGATAGTCCACTTCTCCCATAAGCAGTTCTGAGCCACCTTTCCCACTCCCTGTATGTACAGAATATCCTACTAAGTCTGTCAGTCAGTTACTTCAGTACATTCAGATTCGTCCTGAATATGCACTTTTGCCATGATATGTAGAAAAAATAAATGAATAGGGTTGATTTTGTTACAACATTCTATTGCAGAGACATGGTCAAATGCCATCACCTGTCTATTTATGATACACTCATTTCCCCTAACCCTTTTTATATTTGTCTGTTTGTCTCTTGAATTGTAAGTTAGATCAGGAATAATTTCACTTATGTTTGGAAAGAATCTAGCATGTTGTGGGTGTTACTAGAGACAACAAATACATAATATTGTAGTATTTTCTCTTAATTTTGTCTCTTGCAGACTAAAGGGAAAAGGCTGCAACTGCGATCATTGTCCTCTTTAAAAGCTAGTCTATTGAAACAATATCAAAACCATAATTCTGCCTTTTCTACTATTCCAAAATTTCTGCAAAAAGAAGAAATAGCAGAACAGAGTGAAAAAACAGCAGATTTACAGGTATTTAACAGCACTTTTCTACTTTGTAATTAATGCATCTGATATAATTCTGAAAAAAAATTAGGAAAAAAATATTCTGGGTTCAATTTTAAGTCCTATTCTGAATAGTATATTCTTACTAAATTTGCTTATATAATTTTACATTAAATACATTTTTAAGAATTTTATTGTGGCTTATAGATTTTAGAAAATTCACTGATTCGCTTATCACTTGTTTTAGCAGGATGTTAATGGTTTTCAAACATCTTAAAACAATTTTTTTCACAGATTAATTTACTTTTCCAAAAATACATATTCATAAATACTATCAAATCATTTTCTTTTGCTGTTTAAAATCTAGTTTAATTGGGATTATACCTTAAATTCTAACTAAGACATCTGTCCTCTGTTTTAAGCTTTGACATGTATTGCTGCTTGTATACCTCTTAGATCTTATCACCTCTTTAGAAAGAATTGCTATATGTCAGACTCTTCATATAGTTTTCCAATTCTGCCATGTACTTTGTTTTTGAGCTATGTCTTCTGATAAAGCAAATTTCCCTTTACTCACATTCTGAACCACCATGTTTTGTGCTTTCAAATGGTTCTTGGACCACTGGATCAAATATATATGTGACCCAATGTTCTGGTTTTACCAGAGACTAATACATTTTTAATAATAGTATCTGTTTGGGGCAGCAAAACGGGTTAGGAAATAGAGTGGTGCCAGAAATATATACACAGAGTGACAGACAGAGAGACTTTCATGTGGCATCACTCTTCACCATACCCACTTTATTACTCCAAACAATAAGGACAGGATTTTAACTACTGCAGCTTTCATTTGGAAGTGCTAATTACCTTTTGAACGTTAGATGAGTTAAAATGGATAGAGGTTTCTTCTATAAGGCCTGTTAATCTTCACTGTGCCCTTTTACTAACCTTGTTTTCAAGGAAATAGTCACAGATCAGATTTTATATGTGTGTTTTTTTCCCCCCCTTTGATTTAGGATTATGATGATGAATCTGACGATGACAAGCAGTTTCAGAATATCTCTTCTGCATTCTGCAGCCAAAGACCTGATTCATTTTTCAGTAGAGCTGATCAAGGCCGGTTGGAATTTGCATCAATGTTTGACACTGTTCATGCAAAAGATGATACTAATGCAAAAGATGACCTATCTATGGAACTAAATTCAATTAAGAAAAACCTTCTTGCAGCCTGGGGGATAGGCATTTCAAAAAATTTGCAAGAAAAAGATATGCTGTTGAATTACACGGTTGGCTGTATTACCCACTTTTTCAACATTCTCCAGTTCATTAAAAGTCCTTTACTAAGCCATGTGGCATTTTTAAACAAGTCTGTAAAAACCAACCTGTGGATGCATTGTATCTTAAAACATTTTTATCAGTGTTTAACTGTCTTTTACTGGGATGTGACAGACAGACGGACAGTTGGGCATTTGGTAAAGCTGACATTACAGACTATAAAACTGTTGCTTATTCAGAAACAAGATCAGTTCTCAAATTACCTGTTGGGATGCTTCTATTTACTGAAGATGGTTGCACATAGTCTAAATGGGAAGTCCATACCTCATTATGAGATGATGTCTGCAGTCTCTGATGTTAACAGTTCTCTAGAGCTTGACTCCTTGATTGTGCCTATTTTTCAAGTTCTTGATGGGAGCAGTGCTCAAAAATTTCATTCATTAAATTCTCTGCTTAAGATCCCTCCTCAGGCAATAAAAGTTGGTGTAAAGCCAGAAAACAGGTATGATTATTAATCTGCATGAAAAACTTTTAAAAATGGGATTTAATTAATGTCTCACTGTTTTATTATAAAAGAATTACAGTAGCATTTTATTTCATCACCAATTAAAACAATATGTACGGCCATACTCGGTCAGAACAAAGATCCATCTAGTTCAGCATCTTGTCCTTCCAACAGTGGCAAATGCCAAGTGCCATAGAGGGAATGAACAGACCAGGTAATCAAATGATCCCTCCCCCATCGCCCAGTCCCAGCCTCTGACAGAGGCCAGGGACACCATTCCTACCCATCCTCACTAATAAGACTTATCCTCCATGAATTTATCTAGTTTGTTTGAACTATGTTAAAGTCCTGGTCTTCACAACATCTTCTGCAAGGAGTTCCACAGGTTGACTATGCGCTGTGTGAAGAAAAACTTCTTTTTGTTTGTTTTAAACCTGCTACCTATTAATTTCATTTGGTGATTCATTTCTTATGTTCTTATGTTATGGAAACAACTAAATAACCTGATAAAAGTAAATAACTTCAACTAATACTCTGAAAAAATCTGGTAATTTATTGAAGCATGTGTAGTAATTCCATACTGTTAGAATGAAATACAGTGTTATTCATTTGTTTAACAAAGGTACTTTGTTAAGTTAATTAAAACAAATAACAATGTGGGAGTAACATGTGGGTGCATGATTTAGAATGAGTCTTCTGAACACTAAAAGCTGTAATTTATTTGCATCCCTTCCTGGCAGCAGTTTGTTCCACCATAAGCAAATGCTTTCGCTAGGTAAAAGAAAGAAGAAAGGAAGAAGAGATTTAAATGTAGTAAGATTGTCAACATCTTAAAAACATTTCTCACTTCAGGATCACTCTAAACTGAGTAGAGATCACCTCAAGTATTCTATAACTAAAGTCACTATTACTTGTGTGATAGAAATGTAGCCGTGTTAGTCTGGGGTAGTTGAAGCAAAATGCAGGACAATGTAGCACTTTAAAGACTAACAAGATGGTTTATTAGATGATGAGCTTTCGTGGGCCAGACCCACTTCCTCAGATCAAATAGTGGAAGAAAGTAGTCACAACCATATATACCAAAGGATACAATTTAAAAAAATGAACAAATATGAAAAGGACAAATCACATTGCAGAACAGAAGGGGGATGCGGGGGGGTGGGAAGGGGGAGGAAGGAAGGTAAGTGTCTGTGAATTGCTGATATTAAAGGTAGGGAGAGTGGGATGTTTGTGAGTTAATGGTATTACAGGTGATAATTGGGGAAACTGTCTTGGTAATGGGTGAGAAAGTTCAAAGACTTGTTAAGTCCTTGTTGGTAAGTGTCGAATTTTAACATGAATGACAGTTCAGAGGATTCCCTTTCAAGTGCAGATGTAAAAGGTCTTTGTAGCAGAATGCAGGTGGCTAAGTCATTTAGAGAGTGTCCTTTCTGGTTAAAGTGGCAAGAAACTGTTTTCTCTTTGTGATCTTGTCTGATATCTGTTTTGTGGGCATTAATCCTTTGGCGAAGTGTCTGAGATGTTTGTCCAATGTACATAGCAGACGGACACTTTCGGCACATGATAGCGTAGATTATATTTCTGGATGCGCAGGAATATGTGTTCTTGATCTTATAACTCACTTGGTTAGGTCCAATAATGGTATCAGCAGAATGAATATGTGGACAAAGCTGGCAACGGGGTTTGTTGCAAGGGAAGGTACCAGGGTTGGTATTAGTGTGGTATGTCCTGTGGTGGTTGGTAAGAATCATCTTGAGGTTAGGTGGTTGTCTATAGGAGACTATGGGTCTGTCTCCCAGAGCCTCTTTGAGTATGGTATCCTGTTCCAATATAGGCTGTAGTTTATTGATAATGTGTTGGACAGGTTTAAGTTGGGGGTTGTAGGTGATGACAAGTGGTGTTCTATTGTTGGTTTTCTTGGGTCTGTCTTGAAGTAGATGGTTTCTAGGTATTCGTCTGGCTCTTTCAATTTGCTTTTTTGTTTCTCTGGGTGGGTAGTTGAGATTTATAAATGCTTGGTAGAGATCCTGAAGCTTCTGGTCTCTGTCAGTGGGGTTAGAGCAGATGCGGTTGTATCGAAGGGCTTGGCTATAGACGATGGATTGTGGGGGGGGTTCTGGATGGGAGCTGGAAGCATGTAGGTAACTGTATGAGTAAGTGGGTTTTCTGTTTAGGGTGGTGTTTAATTTTCCATAGTGGTGTCTAATTTTCCATTGTTGATTTGTACGGTGGTGTCCAGGAAGTGGATCTCTCGTGTAGAATGGTCCAGGCTGAGGTTGATGGTGGGGTGTAGGTTGTTGAAATCTCTGTGGAATATCTCCAGTGTTTCTTGGCCATGTGTCCAGATCATAAAGATGTCATCGATGTACCGTAGGTAGAGGAGGGGTGAAAGGGGACGGGAGTTGAGGAAACGTTGTTCTAGGTCAGCCATAAAGATGTTAGCATACTGTGGGGCCATGCGTGTACCCATGGCTGTGCCGCTGATCTGGAGGTATAAGTTGTTCTCAAACCGGAAATAATTGTGGGTGAGAACAAAGTTACATAGGTCTGCTATCAGGTTGGCAGTAGTGTCCTCTGGGATAGTGTTTCTAATTGCTTGTAATCCGTCTTCATGTGGGATGTTGGTATATAGAGCTTCTACATCCATGGTGGCAAGGATGGTATTATTGGGGAGGTTATCGATGTTTTGTAGTTTCCTTAGGAAGTCAGTAGTGTCTCGGAGATAGCTGGGGGTATTGGTTACGAAGGGTTTGAGAAGAGTGTCTACATAGCTGGATAGACCCGTAGTGAGCGTGCCAATACCAGAGATGATGGGACGTCCGGGGTGCCCAGGTTTATGGATCTTGGGAAGTAGATAGAACAATCCTGGTCGGGGGTCAGAAGGTGATTCTGTGAGGATTTGTTCCCGAGTAGCTGTGGGGAGGCTTTTAAGGAGACAGTGTAGTTTCTTTTGGTAGTCCAAGGTGGGATCAGAGGGGAGAGGTTTGTAAAATGTGGTGTTCGAGAGTTGTCTGGTTGCCTCCTGGTTATAGTCGGCCTTATTCATAATGACCACAGCACCCCCTTTGTCAGCTGGTTTGATTACAATGTCCAGGTTGTTTTTGAGACTCTGGATGGCATGGTGTTCAGCGCGGCTAAGATTGTGTGTCGCTTGTTGTCGTTTGTGAATAATGTCAGTCTGTGCGTTGTTGCGGAAGCTGTGTATATAGAAATCCAGATTGTAATTCCGACCGTCAGGGGGAGTCCATATAGAATTATTCTTCCTTTTGTGTTGATAGGGGGGATCTGGTAGGTCAGATTGGTGTTCATTGGTGGTTTGGAAATATTCGCGGAGGCGGAGGCGGTGGGAAAAAAAGCTTTAAGGTCACCACAAAATTGTATCCAGTTTGTGGGGGACGTGGGGCAGAAAGAGAGACCCCTGGACAAGACAGACTCTTCTGCTGGATTGAGTTTGTAGCTGGAGAGGTTAACAATATTATCCGGTGGGTTGAGGTTGTTGCTGTTGTAGCCTGTGGTGTGGAGCAGTTTGGAAAATTTATTGTCTTGTCTTTGTTGTAGAGAATAGAAATGTGTATAGTAGATTTCTTGTCTGGTGGAACAAAAGTCTTGCAAGGTGTCAGTCGGTGTGGATGTTTGTCTTGAGATGAGACTCTCTAAGTTAGAAATGTCATTCTTGATGTTTTTCTGTTTCTTGTATAAAATACTTAGCAGGTGATTCCTTAATTTCTTAGATAGTGCGAGGCAGTCTTTCACTGTAGTCGGTATAGTATGTTGATCTTAATGGATTGTTCATTTTCAGTCCTTTGGGTACGATGTCCATCTTCATATCTGTTCACTTTTTTTTTTTAATTGTATCCTTTGGTATATATGGTTGTGGCTATTTTCTTCCACTATTTCATCTGAGGAAGTGGGTCTGGCCCACGAAAGCTCATCATCTAATAAACCATCTTGTTAGTCTTTAAAGTGCTACATAGTCCTGTATTTTGTTTCAGCTACACCAGACTAACACGGCTACATTTCTATCACTAATTTATTAATAAACATGCTTTATAATAACAGATTTAGTAGACAAGCAAAATAATACCATAAAATATGGGTCTTCCTAAGAATTTCATCAAGAAAATGATGAAAATATTATATTAATTAAAATCTTAAGCAGGTTGGACCTCCCTTGTCCCAAATGAGGAGATTTTCTGGACCAGGGGAGGTCCCTTTCCTTATGGCCCCTGCTGCCACCAGACTAGGGCAGTCTGTCACCGTTACTGCACTAGCCCCAGTCGCTGCCACTGGGGTCACAGCTCCGGAGCTCCCTAGCCACTGGGGCTATAACGCCCCACCATGCTGTGCCCTCCTCCCCCACTCCCTTAATTCTGGGCTGAGTGGCCAGTTCCCCCCTACTGTGCTCCTGCCCTGCTGCCAGAATTCCCTGTTCCTGGGCTCTGTGATCCAGGAATATACATGGTCATTCCAGACCATGGATGTTGCTGGAGCAGAGTTAAGCCGGAGCTCCCTAGCCACTGGGGCTATAACGCCCCACCATGCTGTGCCCTCCTCCCCCACTCCCTTAATTCTGGGCTGAGTGGCCAGTTCCCCCCTACTGTGCTCCTGCCCTGCTGCCAGAATTCCCTGTTCCTGGGCTCTGTGATCCAGGAATATACATGGTCATTCCAGACCATGGATGTTGCTGGAGCAGAGTTAAGGGAGGTACAACCTGTAAATATAATTGGTGAAATAAGTGAAAATCAACTTATGGTGGAAAGACTGAAGAAAATGTTTCTTTAACTACAATACACAAAATAACAAGTACGTTTAAGAGATAAGACAGAAATACTCATTTGTTTCAACTAACATTTAATTTTTGTTAATGATATTTTATTACTTTTTGATCTGCAGGTTGATGATACTGTGGCGGTTATTATATAAACAAGTACTTTGCTATCAGACTCAGCTAAATAGAAAAACATCTCAGATTGGCAAGCCATTCACTGAAATGAAGATTGCACATGAAGAATCTGTTGTTGCACAACTTATAGGTCATATACAAGCAGTTCTGCAATCTTCAGGAGAGACCTTAGAACAAACCTGGAAGCTTAATTCTGTGATTGGTTAGTACATTGGAAGGAACTGCAATCAGCTGACAATTGTATGGAATCTTAGATTATTTGCTATCAATAACTGATATGATCTGTGATTTATTAGCTGGGATAATTATAGTAGGAATTCATCAAACTTCTGAAAACTCACAGTTAAAGCATCTTAATATTTTATGACAGCAGTATTTTTATGTTCAGTTTATGTTTTATGTTTGTGACAGGCTTCATCTAAACCTCTTGAACTTAATGGAAAATTTCAATTTACTTCAGTTTGCTGAGTCAAGTTTGGAATATATAGACATCCTGGTACCCCACATCTGAACCCTGACAAGATTGAGATAGCTTTGTCCCTTCTTAGGTAGATAAATGGAGTTTCAAGCACATCACTGTATCTTCAATGAGGCATTCTGTGGCACTTTAAAGATCAGCACATTTCTTTGGGCATAGGTTTTGTGTGCTAGAGCCCACTTCATGTATATGATGTATCTTCAAGCAGTTTATGCCCAAACAAATTTGTTAATTTTTAAAATGTCTCAGGACTCCTCACTGTTTTACTGAAACATACTAACACAGCTTTCCCACTGAAACTTGTCATTATGTTTGTTTTTCAGCTGATTAATAGAAATGATTTTCAAAGTTCTATGCCATTTTCCCCCAGAATAGGAGTTTGCTGATGATGTCTTTGATATCCACCCATTACCCCCACAACATTCTTATGCATGCCAAACTCGAGTTTACTTCAGTGGGAGATTTTGTCTTTTGGAATGAAATGGAATATTATATAAATTTAACTTTATTGCAAGCAATGTGAAAGCTGAAGAAGTGAAATGCTTCTCACCATGAATAAAATATTAAATGTTTTTTGACCTAAAAAGTTTTAATTACAGTTAGCCTTGTCCTATTTACTATTAGCATGCTAAAAAGTGTCAGTTTATGAAAACTTTGCAGAAAAAGGGTATAACCAATTTTAATTCCACTTGAATAGAGGTTTACCATTAAAAACTGTATAGCCCAAGAAATTCTGTAATTCAGAATTCTTCTTCTTCTTTGAGGAGTGTGTCTGTGGCTATTCCATCTTAGGTGTTTAGGGCACTGCTGCCCCTTTCTTGGGAGCATTGTGATAGCAGTGCCCTCGGTAGGCTATGCATGCAGGGCAACCGGCACACACTGGAGAAGCTGCTCTGCATGCGCAGCCAGTCCCTTCAGTTCCTTCTTTGTCTCAGAAATTGAAGATTCTTAAGCAGAGGGGAGGAAGGGTGGGTGGTGAAGCATTCACAGGGGCAGCCATCTCGAAGAACCTCAATTATAACACAAGGTGAGTAAACTCTTTTCAGCCACTTCCTAAATAGTCATTTGGCTATAATGTTTTTGGAAACTGAGACATTTGCAGATATAGTAGCTGCTGTGGATTTGTGTTACCATTTGTGACAGGCAAAGATTTGAACTGAAATAGAAACCTACATGTACTTGTCAGTTTTTGTCTAAAAAGATGTCAATATCTTACAATTTTGTTGACTATATTGTAATATTTTATAGGTGAGGAACAGTTTCTTTTAGGTTCGTACAAAGAATCTCTGGATCTGTGGAAGAGGACTCTTCAAGAAACCATAGCAAAAGGCAAGGGAAAAATGAAGCAGTCTTTATCTTTTCAGTTTTCAGATCTTTGTACAATATTTTGGGAAGGCTGTTCATACTTCTCTGCTGTAGTTGTCATGCTGTTAGCACTCCTGTAAGATATCAGATTGCCAGAGCTTCTATCTTGAAATTAAAATTTGTTCAGGAATAAAAATTGAGTCCAGAATACTTTTAAGCAGGACTCAACAATCTAGGTAATCTACTTGCCGTGGGTTTTTTACATCAAAAATCTAGCTGAAAATCCATGTAGGGAGTCAGTAGAGTAACACAGGACTGTAATGGACTTCCTGGGTAATTGAGTCCAGTTCCCAGAGTTGCAGAAAACCCCATTGGATAATACTCAGGTCTGCCGAGGGGGGAAGAGGGAAGACGGTACAAAACTAGACCGTGTGATAAGGACATAACATGTGAGAGTGGGGGTGGTGGTGATGATGACATGCTATACAAATAGGCAAAAAAGGCAGTGCTGGAAGAGGGAGGGGGGAAAAGTAAACTGTCAGGTGAAATAGATAGCTCTCATTATTTGACCTAAGATATAATCATAGACATGTAGGACTAGAAAGCATTTCGATAGGTCTGCACTTAGACATGACTAAGTATTATCTAGACTATCTCTGACAGGCATTTGTCTAACCTGTTCCTAAAAACCTTCAATGATGGAAGTGCCCCAGTTGCCCTAATTAATTTGTTCCGGAGCTTACCTCCTTTAGGATTTTTTTTTATGTTTAATCTAAATCTCCTTTGCTGCAATTTAATTTAATTATTTCTTGTCCTTGGTTGATAAGGAGAATAACTTATCACTCTTCTTCAGATACAAACCTTTTATACACTTGAAGGACTAAACATACTTTTATGTCTGGGAGCTCAAAGCTTTTCTTGACTATAGTGAGGTAGATTGCTTTGAGCAATAGGTATAGGTGTTAACCAAAACCATAAGAAGACTAATAATTTTATTACATTTTCTGAAATAAAATGGAGGGATATATGCATGCAGTCTGCTTAAAATATACAGGAACCTTCACAGAATAATAAAAAAATTATTATATTAGCCCTTTCCCACAGACTCAGGGAGAGAGGATGCCACCAATTTGTCTCTCTAGTTATTTTAGAGAGTAAAGGATCTAAATGTATTTTCACGGAGAGAGAGATAATTGAAACCTTATAGGTATTTGAGAATTTCTAGGCAAATCAAGTCTTAGCATTGAAGATCTTGAGATACAGCATATCTGTATTGTCTTTACTGGTTCCTGAACACCCTCTCTGAGCACCATGTCTGATTTAAGCTGTGCTGCCTTTGCAACATCACAACTTCTCACTAATCCCCTTGTTGAAATGTATATAAGCTGCAGAGTTGGAACTGAAAGGTGTAAAATTAACTTCCATAAAAAATTCTGACTAAAAAATAATGCACTGGTTTGCAATAGGATCACATCTCCTATAATGTCTGCTCCCCAGTTCTGCTCCCTCTCTTAACTTATGGTTCTTCAGTTGTATCGTGTTTACATAGAGGAAATTTCAGGTGGACAGCTTCTAGTATGTTGCTCCTTCCTGATACTTTTTTTATGCTCATTTGTTTTTCTGTGTCCTGGATTACAGCTGCAGCTCTTTTTCTTGGATTTTGTATATGTCTTTATATTTATCTTCCTTTGCTTTTGAGTATACAATGCTACATTTGTTTCCTTTTTTAATGTAGGAGACAAGAGGACACAGTTTCTTCAAACTAGGTACTACCTTGCTATATTATATTGCCATCTATATCATTACAACTTACGTGAGGCTCAGGGACTGAGTGATCATCTTGTGAAAGAGGTACTAAAACGATCTCAGCCGCCAGTAAGGCAGGCAGACGATTTTACTGGTATGTTTATCTTGTTAAAAATATGGTTTGTTTATTAATGGATTATGATAAGCTTTAGATAACCTGATGTTTGATTTTTATCCCCCGTAAGAACTTGGCTTCATGATTTGCTTCAAAAAATTCTTAAGAGCTTCCTGCAGTCTGAATACATCTTTTTCTGAAGGGATGAAAAATGGGGTTTCTGTGTAATTGTCTGAAGCCTAGATTTCCTTATTTCCATTCTTCAGCCTCTTAATTCCTTAATGCCCCATTTCTCCATCAGTAGTATTCGTCTCTTAAAAATGACTTCAGAACTTCTGTCTAGTCTTTAATAATTAGAGTAAGTGTTTGGAAGGCAGCTTTAATTGTATAGTTCTGTGGTCACCAACCCGTCAATCGTGAGCGGCCGGTCGATCGCGAGGCATTCGGGCAACCCCGCCCCCCATTTTCCACCCGCCCCTGAGAAGCCCCACTACCTACCTCTAGTGTAGTGCCGGCTTCCCGCGGGGTGGACAGAAGTCCTCTCTGAAGCCCGCGTCGCTTCCGGGGGTTCTGGAAGTGCGCGGGCTACTCCCCCTCCCACAGCTCTGTTGCGTGCTGGGGGAGGGGGTGTTGGCCCTGGAGGAGGAGTGCGGAGGCTTCTCTGCGCCGCCGGCGCCGGAGGGGGGGGTGGGGTGCAGGGGTTTCCCTGGGCCGCGGGAGCGGGGGTCAGCCCCGGGGTTTGGCCGCGCTGCGGGAGGGGAGGGAGTTGGCTGGGCCGTGCTGTGCCATGGAAGGGGGGGTTGACCCCAGGGTAGGCACCCACTGGGGTTGGCCATTCTGCAGGAGGGAGTGGAGTTGCCTCCAGGGCAGGCTCCCGTGGGGGTTTGGCCCCGCTGTGGGAGGGGGGTTTGGCCCTGCCGCGGGAGGGGTGGGGGTTGCCCCTGGGGCAGGGTCCCGCAGGGGTTTGGCCCCGCCGTGGAATAGGGAGAGTTGCCCCCGAGGCAGGCTCCCACAGGGGTTTGGCCCCGCCACGGGAGGCGGGGGTTAGCCCCGGGGCAGGCACGCTCGGGGTTTCCCTGCACTGTGGGGGGCCTGGAGGAGGCATGTGCTGGCTTCCCAAGGAGGGTGGGGGAGGGAGGGAGAGAGAATCCTGGGAGGAGGCAGATGCAGGTGACTCTGCTGCCACTGGCACCCTGTCCCCGCTCCCCACACTCCACTCCCCTGTCCCCAGCTACGGAACTCTGTCCCCACTCCCCGAACTCTGCCCCCACTGGTACCCTGTCCCCTGCTGCAAAAGAACCCTGTCCTCTCCCCTGCCCATCACCCTGTTCTCTCTCCCCTGCCCCCAGCCGCAGAACTCTGTCCCCACAAAATGTATAATTATAAATGCTTCATTTTAGATTTAAATAGCATGAATAAAAAACAGACCATTTATTTCATAACTATAAACACGTGATTTTAATTTTATATATCGCATAATTTAAAAATAAAGTGTTTATCAGAGTGTGTAAGTAAGGACTGGGGATAGCAAGTGATGGACAGGAGGAGAATAGAAAGGGGCGGGGCGGTAGATCTTCGCCTGTTCTGAGATTTAAAAAGCGATCTTCGGTGTAAAAAGGTTGGAGACCACTGGTATAGTTCATAGTTTGAGTGGGGTTTGATAAAGTTCCCCCCCCCCTTTTTTTTTTTTTAAAGAGCCTGATCCAAAATCACTGAAATTTGTGGAAAGACTGCTTTTGACTTCTGATCAAGCCCTGAGAAATCTCATGTTTTTCATTTTCTGTTTATGTATATATAATGTGTTACATCAGAGTTGGCCACAATCCTAAATTTAAGCACATATTTGTATTCTTATCTGGATGCAAATTTTGTAACTAAGCCCCTCGCTTTATAAAGTTCTGAATCAGAGTCCCAGATCTGAATCACCAAGACTCTGGGAAAGTTCAGAGTCGGACCTGGATATCAGCTTAGTGATTTGGGTCCATCTGTAGATTCTGGTTGTGAGAAATCTTCAAAGGGGAATTGTTACTAACTTGTAATTAATAGTAAGAGGCTTTTATATTTTCTGTTTTAAAAAGCTCAGGAAAGCTTTTGGGGAATGAGTAGGGCCATAGTTTTAGTGCAAAGAGTTGTTGGCTATAATTGAACAGTTCTCGTTCTCAATTTTTATAGCACGTTTTTGTTTTGTCTATCTCTTAGATGGTGCGTGTTTTCGATATGAGCTGTGGATGATAAGAGATGTTCATCCTGACGCTGCAGCGGCAGTAATAAAGTCCATGGCACGATTCATGGCTGCCTATTTTACTAATCAGCTACTATATGTACTTCCCCCACATAAAGTTGATATTCTACCTCCACTTCACATCAATCAAGGTATTCTGTTAAACAAAAATATTTTAACTGGCTCTGATTCAGTACTATGTTCTATTATTTATGTGTTGATGTTGCCTAATCTTAAAAGGGTAATTCCTCTGTTTTTAGTGCTGTGATTTCTATTTATTTTTTTAGGATTATTAGTATTAAGGATACAATTACACTTGGTTATATTAAGATATTTTTGCAAATATTTTTGTCAGCAAAACAAATACTTTGTAGCTGTAGTAATTGGAGAATATTTCACTTGTACATATTTAAACTTTTGTGTCATTGTTAAAAAGTATAGTACAGAGTATTCTCATTTTATTTTGTAATCCACATACTTACATGGATTGTTTTGCAAACTGTTTTGCCTCCTGGAGATCCAGAGTGTTAGCGATCCGTCTTGAGGTTGTTTGAACAAAAGATTCCCTTGATACAGCCTAGTGATGTCAGTGATTAACTGGTGGGGTACATCTAGGCTGGAACAACCCCCTGCTTAATGTGGGCATGGAGCTGCTCTAGCCTTCCTGGGCCCACTGTGCCATGTCATGGGCACTTGAGCCTGTTTGGGGCAGCCTGCGGCTGGCTCGGCTTGGCCACAGTAGCACGCCATGGGGGTGAGCACTTCAGTCCAATTGGAACAGCCCCTGCCAGTGGCAGGCTTAGCCTGGCCAAAACAGTGCACCTGTATAAGGGGGGAGGGCTGCTCCACCTGGGCCGGCCTGCTACCTACTTCCATTTAAGCATTAACCAGTTAAACATCATGTTTAACTGGTTAACTGATAAAATGGAATTTTATATCTCTAATATAGCCCTCCCTACAAACAATAATGATGTGTTATCAGAATTTTATAGTTCTTTCCATTGCACTTTTTTTTACACATCTGGGGCTCAAACTCTGGTTCTGCCCCTCAAATTGATATCATCCATTCAGGATGTCAGCTAGTATTTGACATGCACTACTCTTCTGGAGAAAGAAGCAGGATATAAGTTGAATCTTCACCGTGCCTTGAGAAAATCATTTGTGCATGTGAAAAGGACTGGGGGTCTGTTACAAGCTGTGGTGTTCCAAGCAACATGTCATTAGAATAACTGGAGTACTGAATAGGGATGTCAATGTGAAAATGACTACACAATTAACCGATAAGCATGGGTTTATCAGTTAATCCTGTTGACTGCACACATTCTCCCCTCCTTCCATATCAGATGCTTCCATATCAGAAGCAGCAAGATGGGACAGGTGGGAGCTGGCAGCCATGTGGAACTGGCTTAAGCCAGCTTCCCACAGCACCGGATCCATCTGTCCCCTATTCTCGCTCCCACCTCCATGCTGCTGCCTCTGATAGAGGGTGAGGGGGACAGGCGGGAGCTGATACGTGCAGGAAGCCTGGGCCTGCCGTGGACAGAGGCTGCTCTGTGGCAGCAACCCCTGTTTGTGGGGGGGGGGAGTGGTGAGCTCCCTGCAGACGGGTGGTTCATGCCGGAGCATCCTCTGTCCATGGGGAGCTCAGACCCTCCACAGACAGGGGCTCCTGCCATCCCGCACTGCTTCTTCTGTGTTAGAAGCAGCAGAGCAGGACAGCAGGTGGGAGTTGGTCTGCCTGGGAAGTTGGTTTTTAAACTGGCTCCCCTCCCAAACTGGCTCCCACCTGCCACCATGCACTGCTGCCTCTAATAGGCAGCAGTGTGGGGTAGCAGGGATGTGGTTACGCATTATGCAATTGCATGCTAACATATATCGCTATGACTAAAGCTGACATGCGGTGCTTGTTTATTCCAAGTAGCACCTTCTGATGGAAGTTTTAGTCCTGCCTTTGGACAAAACTTCCGAAAGGAACCCTTGCAGAATGCAGGTAGACAATACCTAATATACTAATTAACATTTTTGTGCATTGAATTTAGCTTAACAAAGAGAAGGTTAAGGGGCAATCTTTATTCTGTCTGTAAGTGCCTACAAGGTACTTGATAGTAGAGGAGAGCCTATAGAGCAGATCCTCATGGTGTAAAAAATTTAGAATTCTGAATTTAAAGGAGCAGTGACAACTTTCCTGAGGTGAGGATTTGCCCCATGTTATTGTTTAAAAATCATAAACCATGTTATAAAGGTAATAAAAAATGAGTACACAACAAGCTGGTGTGACAAAATACCACACTATAAACTCTACATTTATTTTAATTTACTGTTTGTAATTAACAATATTAAAAATATATTATCCTTCTATAGGCCAGTTCCCTCGAGTTGTTCCACTGCAGCATTCTATGGTCACCAGTGCTGTTAGAGACCAGAACCTTTCGTCTGTATGGACAGCTGAATATGCTCTTGACTTATTCTTCGTGGGTGGACTGATTCCAGAGGCTGTGTGGTTAGCACGCAAACTTGGAGACTGGAAAATGTCTGTTACCATAGGTGTGGCTTATAATCTGTACTGTCAAAGCAGTAGTGGTGTTGCAAGGTGAGTTATGCTTGTTAAAATAAGGGAACTCAGAATTATCATCATGCATTATTATATGGTATCATGTACATGTATTTTACATAGCAGAGAAGATAGTGTGCTTCCCTTAAGACTCTTACAAGTTAATAGATACAAGATTTCAATAAATGTGCCTTTTCCCAGTGTTCCTAAATTAATAATTTTGTGTGTGGAAGTTTTTTTCCCAGTGAATAAGAAAAGATGTTTCCACAGAATTTCCTGGGTTTTTCTGCAGACTTTTTATTTTGTCATTAATTGATAGTTTCTTGATACACTTTCAGGTCAGAGAAAATGGAGCTACATTTGCCTTTGAACTTGACTCCAACACACATTTTTCAGGAAAAACTACAGTCTTTCTTGGGACAGCCAGTCAATTTTGAAACTCCAAATGAAGGAAGCAATAAATATAAACATTTTACAGGTATGTAAAATGATTTAATACTATTTAAATCAACTTTATTCCAGTTGATTCCACAAATCCTAGATATTCCCTTTAAAATAAGTGTTCCTCTTTAGCATTATGAAAATATAGTTATCATTGTGTATGCAGATAGCTACAGTAAGTGCCTAGAATCCTATAGAAAGACAGGATATATGAGGTAATGTGTTTCATTGGAGCAGCAACTTTTGGTGAGACACACATACTTTCAAGCTTACACAGAGTTCTTTTTCATGTCTGTGTAAGCTTTCACAAGCGTTTCTCTCTCACCAATAAATGTTTGCCCTATAAAAGATACTACCCCATCCACTTGTCTTGCTAATAATTCTGGGACTAATAAGGCTACAGTAACACTGCATAGTATCCCATTGGTGTTTTAGCTTTTTCCATGCTCAGGATGATCCCCTCTTCTTTCTTGTTTGGGGAAGATGATGTAGACATATTAGATATGCACTTCCATTTGTTTTGACTATAAAATACTTGTATGTCAACTGAATGTATTTAGAGCGTAAGACATACTGAAATAAATGTTTGAACTGTATGGAAATCAATGTCACTGGATTAAATTTACAGAACAGCCCAAAGTCTCGCTGTAGTAAAATTATCCATATCCCATATTCTGCTCTAGTTCCTAAAGTCCAGATTTCAAGGCTTTGTTTGCATTTGTGATTTATGGTATTCTGTGTCTTAGCTAGTGTCACGCTGTTTGGAGTGATTCATGATTGTGTGTGTCAATGTTATGACAGACTTATCAAAAAACAGGGCAGACATCCGAAACTGGTGCTATGCTTTGTCATTAGATTTCATCAACACAGTGACAAAAGTAAAGTGCTAAAATGTGAAATACTAAACTAGTCTTACCATGGAGTCACACAGACTGTTCCCTTAGGCATCCCTGCCTTGTTTGCCACCCAAGTGAGTGTGACAAGGTGCTGAGCAGGAACTGCTGAGCCAGCCTTGTGTCACTCCAACTCTAATTAAGGGAAGTGAATTGGAGCTGTTTAGACTTTCTCACCATAATTGGGGAAGCAGAGACAGCTGATGTCTAATTGGGCTGGGATTGTATACACGCCTTAGGGGAAGCAAGCCAAGGGGGAGCAGGAAAAAAGGGAAAAGGCAGGGAGGAGAAGCAGGGAGATGTATCTCCCTTCCCTCCTGCCTGCAGATGGTAAAGGGCTGCTTGTATAATGAAAGGATGGTGGGTGCACAACCTGTAAATAAACTTTACCATTGGTTACTGAACCCAGAGACTCAGAGTGACTTTATCAGCACAACAGGGACAAGAGCCAAGGGTTCCCTGGGCACCTTGTTACAGCAAGCTTATTGATGAGTAGTCACTTACACCACAGATCAAAAAATATTCAGATTGCTTCCAGTTCAAAGAGACCACTCATTTACATCAAGTTTGACAACACTTCTCAGGAGTCCTATAGTAAGCTAACTATGAATGAGTTAACTCTCTCATTTCTTTTTTTCTAGATATGTACAGATTAAAGCAGGCAACGTATACATGCACAAGTTATACACTGTGGTTCAAAAGGGATAGAGCTGTAATTGGAAACAAATAGTCTAGTAGCACCTTAAAGACTAACAAAACATGTAGATGGTATCGTGAACTTTCGTGGACACAACCCACTTCTTCAGATAACAGGAGTATTAGAAGTCCAGATCCAAGAATAAATAAGGGAAGGGTAGGGGGAAGGGGAGTAAAAAAGAGAGGTAGTGAGTAGATGGTTTAAATAGTTACAAGAGGCTGATAAGAACAATTAGCACCTCCATTGGTTGGTTGGTCGGTCAAGTCATTAGGATATGGAAGGGAGTGTGCAAGGGAGTGTGTGAGCAAGCTGATGTCTCAATTCATACCATTTGCGTAAGAATTAAACTTGTGAATGAAGTTAAATTCCAACCTTTCTCTTGTGTATTTAGCTTGTGGAATTGGCCTGAAACAAAATGGTAACTTAGAGATCCATTAATGAGTGTCCAGGCAGATTAAAGTGTTCTCCAACAGGTTTTTGTATATTGCCTTTTTGTATATCTGATTTGTGTCCATTCTTTCCTGTAAAGACACTATAGTTTGGCCAATATACGTTACAGTGGGGCTTTGCTGGCATTTGATGGCATTGATCAAATTAGTGGATATGTAGTTAAATGAGCCTCTGATTTGCTGGCTGATGTGGTTAGATCCAGTGATGAAATTGCTAGTGTAAATGTGTGGGCAGAGTTGGTGTCATGATTATGAGGGTTAGCCAGCAGTCTGGGGATTAAGGAGTTAACTACACCTAGCCAGGTGGAGTGACCAGTAGGAATGTAGGTAGGACTTTCAAACTGGGACAAAGGAATTTGGGTTTTTTCCTTTCTCCTTTTGACTCTCTGGGTGTGCTCTCTGGAGCTACAGAGAGGGACAAGCATGTCTCTCTCTCTCTCTCTCTGTCTCTCTCTCTCCAAGACACCGTTCTTCATTTTCTGTAAGTAGGGTAAAGTTTAGGTAGTTTCATTAGGCTTTATTGTTTTAAGGGTTGGGTATGAGATCTGATATCTGGCACTGCTTAAGAGATGTTTGGCTTTTCTTTTTAACTAAGTTCTAGCCCATGGTGTAATTCCTCCATGAGTATATTTTGTTACCTTTCCATCTGATCCTTATGCTTGCAACAGGAATATTGTTGTAATAATAAAAGTTTTCTCTTTTCTTTTTATTAACCTGGCATTGGTTACTTGTGTGTCCTGATTTTTATAATAGGGGTGAGATTTCCCAAATGATCTTTCCCCTAATCTCGTTATTAATATTTGCGTGGTGGCAGCAGAAGTTTTATTCCCAAAATCTAGGTTTTTAAGATTTTGGGGGAAGTTTTATACCAAAGCTTGGTAGATAAGGCATTGGGGTACACTTGCTGGCCCCCACTTCTGCATTTATCATGCCAGAGTGGGGAAAGAGCCATGACAGTTGGCACCGGGGCTGATTGCAGGGGTGGGATTATGATGGAGGTGTGTTGCGTGGTTACTGGAAATAATTTGTTTGAGGTTAGGGGGTTTTCTGTAGCCTGTTTTTCCTCTTACAGACTAACTCGACTACCCCTCTGAAGCTTTAGAGCTGTAATTAATTGTCAGCACAGAATATCTTTCAAGGCTAACCCCATGTTTACCCTTGGGGGGGAGGGGTTTCTGGTTTTGTTTTCTAGCTCCAGTCTTGAGACTCCAGACAGGAAAGAAATGGAAAAAAATCATTTAATCTATCTGCATTTTCCTTTTCAAAATTAAGTTGACGAGACAAGCTTCCTTGCACCTTTATTGGTGTGAGAGAGCCATTATCTCATTTTTTATCTTATTTCACAATGGTGAATTAAGTATTGATAATCCTCCTTGGTGGGCAAGGGTATCATTCTTCTTGCCTGAATTAATAAGTTTAGAGCAGGCATTTTTAAATTCTAAAAAACATTATAAGGTAACGTTAGATGCAGATGCAGACGTTATAAGTAAGAAAAATGCATGCAGCAACTTACAAGTATCTTACAGAGTCTAAACACATCCTTACAAGTGTAGCACCTATCTTGAACACTGTTAGCCTTCAGATAAGCTGATATGGTTTCCAGCTATGAATTTATCAGTGATCAGTTGATGCCACAGCCTTGGCAAGAACTGGAACCTGGTTTGCCAGCATCTCGATATTAAACCACTTATTCATCTCCTCTTTGCAGTTCATGAGGAGAGCAGTCCAGACATCCATACTCATGAGAGATGTTGGGCAGCAAAAACAACCAGAGTTAATTGAGCATTAAAAGCAGTTTTCTTCAATTCTTAAATTTATTCCCATTTTCAAATCTTACATGAAATAAAGTATGCAAGTTATTAATACATTCTGGAAAATGAATGTAAATACAATAATACAGTACTTCTTATTAATTTCAGAAGAAAACATTTTATCAATTGATATATTTGCCATATCTGTTTCAATTCTTGGAATTTTTTAGATCCCATTGAAGAGGAAGATGGAAATGTGCTGTTTGGTTCAGTGCAAGAAATACTGAAAGCAGCTGTTATGGCAGATGCAGACATTCTCTCAGAAACATTTCAACTTTTGATGGATTCTGCCAAAGACCTCAGCAGAAAGTTGTGTGGGTTAGTGCCTGATGGGTTGTATCTTCCTGCACCACCATTATATTGTCCCCAGCCAGCTTCTCTCAGTGAAGTAAGTGCTTTTGGTAGAAGTTATATCAATGTTAGTTTGAACCTTCTAGTTCAGTTTTCTTCCAAAATAAACATAATTACCTCTGTGGCTCTATAATAGTGAGTAACCACTTCGAAAAGCTACTTTCCGTTTTTCCTTCTACCGTAAACGTCCGATAATCCGGCACCTTTAGGACACAGGGGGTGCCGGATTATCAGATATGCCGGACTATCGGAAGCGGGGGCTATGAGGGGTCTGGGGTGGGGTGGGGGGGGGGAGATGGAGGGGGGCAG